TAAAACAAGGAAACATAGCTTTAGCTAACACTCCCCCTCAAGTTGGTGCATAGATGTCATCAATGACCAACTTGCCAAGAGAGAGATTGTCGTTATTAATATTTCCGCATCAAGCTTCTTCTTAATAGAATCTCGATCCACTTCAACATGCCCCCTCACGTGGGACCACTGCATAGTGGGCCACACGTGGAGCAAATGCCACATCGAAGTTAATCATTTCGGTCTGTCGGTGGCAACACCAAATCCAAGTGCAGCTGATTGGTCGGTAGATCACATAAACCATGCGAACAAGGCAAAGGCAAAGCAAAGAACACAGAAGCCTTGTGAACACGACAAAGGTAAGGTAAAGGACACAGAAACCCTATGAACACGGCAAGGACTCAAACATTCATTTTTTCAATAAGGAGGAGGCTCAGGAATTAAATATTCATTTTCAATACTTCTTTTGACCATATATACAACATGTGCTTATCCTCGCAAAGTTTCTCAAGAATAAAAAACCTAGTATATATGAAATTCGAGAATGAAAAGGGTTTTGGATATCTAGACTACCTACATCGCCTCGAACACAAATAATTGTAGAAAAAAGACAAATCTTACTTATCTTTGATATGTTTAATATTAAACACTTGCACATGATCCACAAGGTTCATTTGACCCAGTGGCGGAGCCAGGAATTTATGTGTTGGGGGGCCAACATATAAACCAAACAAGACATTAAAAAATTTCACTTTTTCAACCTTAACAATGTTTGGAAAAATTAAAGGTAGAAAATAATTGTTTATTCAATTAGGTATCAAAATAACACTCGTCGTTCTTTCATATCTCGAAAACCATCTATGATTGAGTCAGTGCTAAACGTTTCTGCAATTTCCCTTTCGATGTACATAATCAAAGAGTCTGTGAGAAATTCATCTTCCATCTTGTTACGAAGCCTAGTTTTTACTATACGCATAGCAGAAAATGATCGCTCTGCAGTTGCTGTAGAAACAGGAAGAGTAAGCACAAGCACAACCACTCTATAAACAAGTGGATATGTAGTTGATCTTCTAGTCGTTACCATCCATTGAGATAGATCAGAAATTGTTGACAAGTTTTTGAACTCTGGAAGTCTAACGACGTCACTCTCAAAATGTTGAAGTTGTCTTCTCAAACCTATCTTCTCATGATCTTCAAAGTCTTGCGGATAGAACTTATCTACCAATTGACAAATATCATCAATTCTAAAAGATTTATTCACTTCACGAGGATCCAAAGCCGACCCCAGAATAAGCAGCTCTGTTGTTTGATCACTAAATCTGCTATTTAATTCTTGAAGTTGAGAATCTATTGCAGCATAAAAAATATCTATCATGTAATAATGCTTAATCGTAAAATCATCTTGTTGATGGCGAGCTCGACCTCGTCTTGCAACATAACGAGCATTCATATCTAGGATATCTATGTTCCGTGCTTCACAAAAAGAATTCACCTTGGTAAGCAAAGAATCCCATCCATCATCTCTTAATTCTTGGATGAGTGCTTTAGTGGAAGAAACAAGATTCATGGCATTTATGATGTCTTGGGATTGACATTGCAAAGCTTGACAAAGATCATTAGTGATCTCCATAAGTTCTTTCATAAGATGTAAGATAAAGACAAATTCATATGAAGTCATTGCCTCATAAGCTGCATCAGCATCTCCTCTTTGAGAATAAGTAGTTCAATTATCAATTATATTAATTAGAACTGTGCATGTTGCACTAAACATATTTACCAAGCTTGTAATTGATTTCAAATGGGAACCCCAACGAGTATCACCAGCACGTTGTAAGGTGCCAATTTGGTTCATTCCTTTCCCTGTCTCGAGCTCATCAATTGCAATCATGTGCTCAATTTCAGCAGCTTGAGCATTTTTCAGTTCATCATTACGCTTACATGAAGCACCGACAATATTGACAATAGAAGTCAATTTAGTGAAAAAGTGGTGAACATGAATAACTTCTCTTGATGATGCAACTAATGCCAATTGTAATCGATGTGCTAAACAATGAACATAGTAAGCATATGAGCAATCATTCAAAATCAAAGCTTGTAACCCATTCCATTCACCTCGCATGTTACTTGCACCATCGTATCCTTGTCCTCTAATATTTTGAATATTTAGTGAATTATGAGACAATATAGAGTATATACCTTTTTTCAGAGTTAATGCCTCAGTGTCTGACACATGAACAAGCCCAAAAAAACGCTCCTGAATAAGACCTTCTTTGTCAACAAATCGCAACACTATAGCCATTTGCTCTCTCTTGGATTCATCACGCGCTTCATCAACAATTATACAAAACTATGACTATGTTAAGTTATCTAACCTGGAATTAAAAATTTTGAAGCTGGAGGTTGGAGAGCAAACAACCAAATTCAATTATTTTCTTTTGCTGTGTGCAGCTGCTTCGAACTAAGTTCACGTTGGTTCATATAGGAACAAAAATTAAAATCTCAATCCTTTTTTATTTGGGTAAAAGTCTACTTCCTATTTGATAAAGGAAATTTTTTGAAACTTTATTTGATTGGCTGCTTTTATTTTTTTATTAATATATTGATGGGATATTGAAAAAACCAAAGCTGGCGTGTGGATTCACAACCTTCAGTCATGTGGTGAATATTATATATACTTAATTTGGAAAGAGAAACACATCTTGAGGGGGCCACAAGCAAAATTATTATATATGATTCCTAAAATCTGTAGGAATGGATGACCAAACATAAAATATTATTAAACTTTTGGGGGGGCCAGCCCCTTCAGGCCTTCAAATACCTCGCCACTGATTTGACCCTTCTCACCCCAGATTATGTACGTACATTCAGATTTGAATTGCCGTGATAAGCTCATGTTTCTTTCTTCTTTATTTAATTAATTTCCTCTTATTAGTGGCGCACTACGACCGTTTGTAATCTTTTTATTCAAAGTTTGGCATACAATCAAAGTTGAGAAAACAAGAAACATGGCGTGGGTAGCTTTGGTGGAGAAAAAAAATATAAACATTCCCGTGGTCCTCCTCGCCTTCCTCGCTTTTTCATGGACTCAAAGTCGATAAATGTTAAAAAGTAATGTATACATGTGTCTTGAATAACATAGAAAAATCTTGAATATTGATGAATGTGCAAATAATAAAATAAAATAAAAAAATCTGAGATCAAAGTGTGCTTTAATATAAAATATTCAAAGTACTAAACATTAATATACCAACAAAAAATGAAACAAATTCTCATAATAGTATCAATGCCTTTAATCAAACATTAATATACCAACAACAAATCAAACATCTCAACAAAATTCCTAAAATCAAAGACCTATTTAATTTCAACAAAATCTCCAATTTTTTTTAAGTTTGAGTGCCCCCGCCCCCCTTGAGTGGGTTGCTTTTAAGTTTTTTTATGTGTTTGGGTGGGCATGGGTTCACACCATCACATGGACTAGGTAGAAATAGCTTTGCTTACATAAAGGGTTTTTTCTTTTGAAAAAATAGGCGGCTGCTTACCTTGGCCTTGATGTAGGAACGCCCCTGAGTGGAATAAGACCCAAAACATAAAACCTTTAGGCTGCGTTTGGTTCATGGGAAAGGAATCTTGGGATGGGAAAGCAATTGCTTTCCCATGTTTGGTAAGTCAGGCATGGCATGGACAAGTGTTGCCTAGCACATGGGAAAGTAGGAGGGAAAGTGAATCCTTCCTTCATCCTTGGGTTTTACTTTCCCTTCCCATGGGAAAGTAAGACTAGCATTAAATACACTTTTTTTTGACTAATTTGTCCTTACTAACAATTCATAATTACAGTTTTTATCCAACAACTATTGGTATTTTTTTTTTATAGGGGTACAATTGGGAAACTAAACAAAATTTGTTTTCCATTCCTACTCAAAACAAACATGGGAAAGGAAATAAAGTGATATTTTCGGGTCACTTTCCTGACATTACCAAACATGGGAAAGGAATCACCATTTCTCATCCCTTGGGAAATGACATGGGAAATGATTTCCCATCAAACTCATTCCGTGAACCAAACGGGGCATTAGGTGTTTAATCTAATGGAGATTAATTAGTGAAAGTGGCGCATGTGAAATTGTTTTTTTAATGCAAATTGTTGAAAGTGGTTAGTTCCAATATTGCAATCCCTTCCTCGTCAGTGAAAGTGACACCTCACCGTAAGGACGAAGCTGAGGAATCAAATACTAGTCAATCAATATTTGGTTAAACCATATATGCAATCTATGCACAACTATATTGCGAGTTTTAGAGGGTTTTGGATATTGGAAGAAGTCAGAGAAAGATGTGAATTGTTAATGATATTTTGTGGAAGAAACTGCTGATACTTTGTATATAAGTCACCAACTCCATATCATTTTGTTTCAAAAAAAATTGAGTGTAAACAGAATTCCTCTATCAGATGATGTTCAACAAGTTGGAACCGGTGTTCTATTCACGAAAAATAAATATTGCTCCGTCTTTTTCCGCAGATCTACTCTCTCCTAGAGTTTTTATAAATAAAAAAAGAAAAAGTTATGATTCTCATTAAAAAAAATAATAAAAATAAAAAAACAGCCAAGTTGGATGGCTTCGGGTTAAATTCAATCTAGCTTCTAAATAAACACATTTCTAGAAACTAACATATTGGAATTGTATCGTTAATCATTGAAGAAAAATTCATCTCTCGATTCCCATTTAGAATTAGATGCCAAAAAATAATTTTCTAATTTCCAACAATCTTATCTATCTCTACGTCAAAGGGAATACATTAATCCGTAGTCCTCCTCCCCTTAACTTACTCCTCATTTCTTGTGTTTTTCAATCACAACTTGTTCTCTGTTCTTACACAAACCAGAAGGTTGAAAGATGCTTGATTGACTCAGACTCAGATTCAACCAAAATTGTCTCAAACTCCTCTATTTTAGACGACAAATATTAGTAATTGATTCATGCTTCAGTCTCATTCTCTCTTCAAAAATGGTTGTTATGATCAGAGTATTCACACTCAAGCTTAACCCTCTTCTTCTTCTTCTTCTTCTCCTCCTCTTCTTTCTGTTTACTCCTTCTACAACTCCATTAAACTTCAGCTTCTCCAGCTTCAATGCTAACAGCCCCAACACTATATTCACAGAAGGTGATGCTTATTTCGAGAACCAATTCCTCCGTCTCACAAGAAACGGCGTGAAGAGCGTTGGCCGAGCCACCTACCGCCAACCCTTCCTCCTCCGTGAAAACACCACCGGAAAATTGGCCGACTTCACCGCCAATTTCAACTTCTCCATCAACTCTGACAACAGGCCCAACTATCACTATGGCGACGGTCTCGCGTTCTTCCTTGCGCCACATGGGTCCTTCCTCAACGCCACAATAGGACGTGGTGGCAGTCTTGGCCTCCCCATCAACTCCACACCTTCAAACGTCACCGTTCCAAGGAGTCAGTACCCGTTTGTGGCAGTGGAGTTTGATATCTATAAGAATGTACGGCCAGTCTTCGACCCCGAGTACGATCATGTGGGTATTGACGTCAACTCTATCAACTCTAGCATTACCGAGCCTTGGAATGGAGGTATTTTGGAAGGAGAAACAAATAGTGCTACCGTTACTTATAACTCAACCTCAAAAAATCTAAGTGTTGCCTTCACTACTTTTGTAGAAAGCGATGTGAATAATACCCAATTAGTCCAAGTTGTCAAACACCTTCATTACGTTGTTGATCTGAAGGAGTACTTGCCAGATTGGGTAGTTGCTGGGTTGTCTGCTTCGACGTTTAGCAACTTTGCTCTGCATACGATCATTTCATGGAATTTTGTTTCAACTTCACTAGTTGATCAGAATGGGGTCGACATTCCAACGGGCAACACACCGCCAGCGGTTACAGTTCCTACGCCAAGCCCCACGGTCAGTACTTCAAACCCCAAGTCAGTAAATGATCACAGAATAGGGTTAGCAATTGGGTTGGGTATTGGTGGATGTGCTATCTTGGTTGGTGGGTTGGGTTTGGTTTTCTTCATTTTCTGGAAGAAGAGGGACACAGGGGAAAATAGTGATGAAGATCCTATGGTTCATGAATTTATCGATGAGGAATTCCAAAGGGGGGCTGGCCCTAGGAAGTTTTCATATATCGAATTGGCTCGGGCAACCAGCAATTTTGCGGAGGAAAATAAGCTTGGACAAGGAGGGTTTGGTTGGGTTTATAAGGGCTTTATATCAGATTTGGAGTCATATGTTGCTGTCAAGAGGATATCGAACGGGTCTAAACAAGGACCAAAGGAGTATGCATCGGAAGTAACGATCATCAGTCAACTTAGGCATCGTAATCTTGTCCAACTGATTGGCTGGTGCCATGAAAGAAAATTCCTACTTGTGTACGAGTTGATGCCCAATGGGAGCTTAGATTCTCATTTGTTCAAAGAACAAAGCTTGTTAACTTGGGAGGCAAGATACAAAGTTGCTCAAGGCTTGGCCTCCGGTTTGTTCTATCTACACCATGAGTGGGAGCAATGCGTGCTTCATAGGGATATTAAATCAAGTAATGTTATGTTGGATTCAAATTTTAATGCAAAACTTGGGGATTTTGGGTTAGCGAGGCTTGTGGACCATGGAGAAGAGCCCCAAACTACAGCACTCGCAGGAACCCTGGGATACATGGCCCCTGAATATGTTATCACTGGAAAGGCGAGCAAGGAGTCAGATGTCTATAGCTTTGGAATTGTTGCTTTGGAGATTTCTTGTGGGAGAAAGCCCATTGATCGAAACTTTACAAGTAGTCAAATCAATATGGTGGAGTGGGTTTGGGAGCTTTATGGAGAAGGGAAACTCATTGAAGCAGTTGACTCAAAACTTTGTGGAGATTTTGATGAGAAACAATTGGAGTGCTTGATGATTGTTGGGTTGTGGTGTGCTCATCCTGATTACAATAAGAGGCCTTCAATACAACAAGCAATTCAAGTGCTTAACTTCGAGGTCCCGTTGCCCATTCTCCCATCAAAGATGCCGGTGGCCACCTATTTTGCTCCTCAGAAAACGCTTGAAATGTTGTTTAATGATACTTCTGGCTCTCAAGGAGGTCAAATTGAATCTTCAAGCGATGGTTAAACACTATTTTCTCACGGTTCTCCTCATCTTCTACAAGAAATTAGCATCCTTAAATTTCAGTTGGGTAAGCTATAAGTAGAATTTAATAATTATGACAACCTGAATCCTTATATTTTGGAAATTTTTGTAACTTCACCTTTGCGATGTTTGCAAAATTATCAATCACATCATGCAAGTCACTCATTCTCTTTGTAATATTCAGCTGCAGTATAATGTCTTAGACTGAAAGCTGCACATGTTGCTTCGGTCAAATTATTGTAGCTATAATGAGAAATTTAACTAAAGCAGAAGTGATCCAAAACAGGCGAGTTTCAAGTTTGATTGTCACCTTTGAACATCCAAAATAATCAAAATTTTGTTTGTTTCGAGTATCATGAGACATAATTGATGGATGCATGCACCGGCTCCAAACACTGTACACCTCTGCCATACTGTTGATGTATGAAATAGGAATAGAAAGATTTATCTACTCAATTTTGACATTAAAATTTCTGTGGTTGATTCAAGCATTCGTCGTGCTCCATAAGATTTCTACTTCTTTAGCTTGTATAGAATATATAGATGCTACTTCAATGGTAATTGAATTGCCTAAATCTTAGCAAGATAGGGTTTTCCAACTTCTCCAATATATAATTACTGATCTTCGATTTTCATTGTGTATTCTACGTCAGGGTTCCGAAAACACATTCAATTTTGATTTCTTTATTTGTCTGCCTCACAAATTGATGATGGATGGATAATTTTGATGTGTTGTACTTCCGCTTTGTTAGTAAAGTCAAAGACAAAACATAGACATCCCTAAATGGCTTGTCTACCACCTTGTTACTTTTCCTTGTTTTCATATTCCTTGTTTTAGGGATGGAAACTCTCCATGTTTCCCTCCATGTCTTGTGCATTGTTTGTAACTAATAATCACCTTGTATACTTGTATATCTAACCCTTCACTAAGTAAGAAACTCAATTGGCAGATTTGAATTCTCTGCAAAACCTATCTTGTTCTTCTTATTATACATTCTCAACTCTCTCAATTACACTATCTTTGGCATGGTATCAGAGCAATCGATTTTGGTTGCCTCTGCATAACCTTGTTCTTGCCTAAATCTCTACCTATCCTTGCCCATAATTTGCTGTTATATTATTCCTACCTCATAC